CGGTTTTTGATCGATTTTTTGTTTTAAATATAGAACTTAATTTATAACAGTAAATACGATATTAATTAGCTTCTTTCAATCTGACTGGCAACAAATAATTACACAAGAACTTCAGAAGGGATAGTTAAGTTCACACTTGCAGAAATAAATGGATCCCGCTTGAACATTCCATATGCAAAGAAAGAAAGACTCATCAAAAAGGTAGCCAGCGAGAGGTAAAATGGCATGTATTCGACGCTCTTTGTTCTAATCACAAATTCTGCAATAAAAGTTCGTATTTTTGAGCAAAGACTTAGTTGTCGATTCGGTGGTTCGAAAACTTTAATGCTCGAAACCACAACAGCCCCAAATACGGCAAAAACTGCGCCAAACATCTTCACCTGCATATATTACAGAAACAAATATGATTCCAATAATGAGTTTAAATATATTCAAAATGTAAGAACTAGTGACCTTTTTTTGTTCTATCTGCACATGTAACGAAGATGATTATGTAAATCAACTGGAAAATGGCTCCAACATGCCGGGAGAGACGATAGGAGTCTAAGCAATTCAAGAGGGCATATATATAAGGCAACCCGGAAAATTGTTCCGTTGATTTACTTCTGATAATTCTCCTAAATGTTGGTCTGCAAGATAAACATATATTATTTAATCAACAATTTGAAAAATTGTTCTTCTGTAGTTTCTGAAAGATTCAGAGACTTACATGGGTGGTACAAATAACACAAAAGCAAGGAGGTTCCCTGCAATTTGCGAAGAAAGTTTGTTAAGGAAAAAGTTATCTCAAAATAACTAAACTTTTTTTAACAAATAAGAATTTGGAAACAAAAACGAACTTCTACTTTTTTTTTTACTTTTTAGGCTTAGTTGAACATGCTCCAATCTCCACGGCTGGCCTTTTTTTTTTAAAGTATTGAAGTACTAAAATTCCATAATTTGAGTATAAAAATACTTTCTAGCAGAGTTGACTTTATGATTTAAATCAAAGATCTCAAGCACAACTTTCTTCACCATATTAGACAATCCGTTCACCTTTAAAAAGACATTTTTCCCCCACAAAACAAGAGATGGGGTGAAAAAAGTACCTAAAATTCCAGCTGCAGATTGAATAAGTTGAGAATAAGCCACATTCAGACATCGTTCCAACCTCGTCAGATCAAACTTCAGACATAAAGAAAAATTGATTTCTCGTAATTGATATTTTAGTGGTTTTTGAGGTGTTGTTAAGAGGGTCGAGACAACTTGTCCTAGTAATTTATGCTTTTACATCACTTTTTATACCATGTCACGTGACAACGCGCTATTAGACAATTTAAAAACATAAATAATTTATTAATCAATCAAATTATGCCAATTTGAATATCGTCAATGTTCACTTTTGATGTACAAATGACTTAACTCTAAGGTATGGGACCCAGTTGGGAAGTGATTATTGAGATTTTCACGTCACGCAGTATTTTGTTTGAAACACGTGCCGTTAATTAGGAAATAATTTGTGTCAACTGGTCTGAGTTTTGTATTTGATTAAAAAGTGATGTCTATTTATGAAAATTACCTCGTCAGATTTGTAAATTTGTAGTTATTTTAACGTATTTTTTACTCAAGTCAATTTTAAGTTGAGTCTAGGAGAGTCGAATCAATGTTTATGTTATAATGATAACATAAAATCATTGATTTTATCTGTATTTATTGAATTACGTGATTATTTTTGCTCTGTATAATTTATAGCTGAAAAAAGTATAGACAAAAATTCCAAAAAAAAATTATTGTTCACCATCGTTCGGGATGTGTTATGATGGTCGAACTTTCAAATCTATTAACGAATGTCGAGTGAGTGGAATATTCATACCAAACGAGTATGGATAGAACATCTCTCACTTCAGAATAAAACTTTACTTATTTTAAAATATTTCTACGTTATTGTCGAAATAGTTGACAATTAATTTATTCATTTTTACCCAATCACTTGGCCAAAATCCCCAAATATTCTTCCAGCCATTTCAATTTCGGAATCATGGAACAAATGATGATCTCGAAATCGAGTTTCATTGGAAATAGACAAAAATGGGTGTATGAGCTCGAGCATAGTTGACTATTGCGTACTTGTTGGTATGCTCTCTTCGACCTTTCTTTTGTTTGGCCCTTTTTGTTTTCTCTCGAATTAACCTCTTCTTTGTTTAGGCTAATATTTAGGCTTCAACCTAAACCACCATCTTTGCCCATTTGCCATTTCAGTATTATCTTGTGTGGAAATTACATAAAAACAGGTGTTTAAAGATCTATTTTTATAAATCAGGTTTGTAATTTATTTATTCAATTTTCAGGTTTTATCATTTTAATTAAATAATAAATCATTTAATAAAAGGACGTCCGTATCCCGTTAATGGTGGGTTTCAAATTGGTTTATATCTTAACTTCCATTTTTATTAATTAAATCCCTATTTTCTCTCTAGCACAATCTCCACCTTATTCGCGACCAATCTCCATCTCGTTTCCAAAATCAGCCGTGAGAAACCTCCAAATCCCACACAATCTCTGGTGCATTCCCTTTTATTTGCAGTGTGATTATATCTCTCTACTGGGTAGGGATTAGGAATG